CAGTTTTTATTTATTTTTTTTATATTTTAAATGGGATATAGCCATTATAAAGTGAGCAGGTATATATTCTTGATTTATTATATGGCCATGTTATTAATTTTTGACTTCTCTCACATTTAACTTTGTCGTTTCGTTAATTTTTAATGAGTTTAATAAAGTTTTTTTATTAAATAATACAATTTTTTAGTTTATTTCACAACGAATTACTGCATAAGAGGCAAAAAACGAAATTTTAGTTTGAAATAAAAATCAGAATATTCTCACAACCCTACTCTATAACTGAGTTCACATTTAGTGGAAGCTTTTTAAAAGTTTGTAAACACAAGTGTGCACTCGTGTTAGAGCGTTTTGATTGATTAGTGTAAAGTTAGTGTAAGTTAAGTTAGTGATTATTAATTTTTTTGCTGGGTCTGTGTCTGATTTTAATTAACTAGTATTTTTGATTGTTATTTGACGTTAGTTAAGCATTTTAAAATTTTATTTTTGGCATGTTTTTTATTTTAATTTTAATTTAGTTTTAGTTTTATTTTATAATTATTTATTTTTTTTTATTTAATATTGATTTGTTAATTTTTTACTCATTTTTATACAATTTTTAAACTCATTTTCTTGAAACATTCTTTCTTAGATGATCTCTAACTTAGGTCTTCTCTTAACAACTTTAATAAATATTCGACAATAGATTTTCATTTTACTATTACTTTTTAAGTTTACTTTTACACATTGTAAAGTTTTAAATTTACTACATTAAATTTCAAATTAAATATATATTAGTATTACTACAACAACAATTACTTCTGCTGCTACTGCTACTACAACTACTACTGCTACTACTACTAATACTACAGCTACTAATAATAAAATTGAAAATAGAATAACACTATATATACATTTATTTATTATAATATGACCATTTTTTGCCATATTAAAAATTAATTAGATTATATTAAAGATATAGCATGTGTCTGGATGAATATATGTATTGGATATGATATGCGTGTCTTAACGTAGATAGATACCAGGTTGCTGTTATTAGTTTTTTGTTTATTCATTCGTTCCTTCATTTGTTTAATTCATTCATTCATTCATAAAATCTTTGATTTCGTTTAACTGTTCATTCATTCATTCATTCATAAAATCTTTTATTTGTTCATCGTTATGTCCATCCATTCATTAAATCATGTTTTTAGTTATTTACATTTTTCCAGGCACTCATTCATTCATCCATCTTTTCATTTATTCATTCATTTGTTCATTCATTCGTTCATTCATTTCATATATACATATATATATGTTGGTAATAGACCATAATTTTTTTTTACAATATATATATATATATTGGCACAAGGTACATATAATAAGCTTGATAATAGAATGTTGTTAACAATGTCTTTCTTAGCTGTTATGTTCCAAATGTTGTCTACAGGTTTTACTGTCGTCATCATCGTCATCATCATCATTATTATTTT